CAACAACTGCGCGGGCAGCAGCAGAGCCCGCCTCTGCGTCGATGTCAGTGTTGGCACCCAGGATCACGTATCCTGAGGGCTTCATCTACGTGAAGCCCGAGTGCCAGCCCGCCATGGTGCAGGGCATGCAAAGTTTCGTACCTCCCGTGGATCGTCAACGGGCAAGGGCGTTTGTACAACAGCATGGCGGGCAAGCAACCATGATTAAACTGATGGACGTAAGTATTTGGCCGTACCCGTGTAATTGTTTTACTATTTTATTCTAGGGACTTACTGTTGTTGTTGTTTGGCAGGCGTTCAGCTACACATTGGCGTTGTTCGATAGCGAGCAGGGGGCTCGCTCCCAAAATAACGAGCTCAGTGCCAATTGCAAGCAGTTGGCGGCAGAGAAGGCCAGCCTTGTTGATGATGTCAATCGTCTGCAAGGCTCGGAGATGGCCAACCGAGCCGCTGCCGCAGAGAGCCGAGCAGACGAGCTCGCGAACAGAAATAACGAGCTCAAAGAGGAGTTGGAGCGGGCTCGAGCTGAAAAAGAGAGCGGAATCCAGGCGGCAAAGGACGAGGCCGCCAGGGTTGAGGAACGGGCTAAGAAGGCCAAGGACGAAAGGGACAATGCTCATAACGAACTGAACTCCCTTAGGCGCCAGGTCGGCGAGGCCGACAAGAACCTCAGTGCCGCTCAAGGGGCCCTAGACGAACTGAGGACATCTCATGGGCACTCGGTCGGTATCGCCCACGCTCAAGGTGCAGAGTGGCTGGTGGGCTCGGCCATATTTCAAGATGCGGTGGCGGTGGCGTCTGCGAATGTGACCACGAAGATCTACAACGAGATCCGTGAGAAGGTGCTGTACCATCGCCCGGATTTCCCCATATGCGAGCTGGCGTTTTTCGATGGGGAGGATATTGACGAGCAGGGTAAGAGCCTTGCTCCCCTCGCTGACACAACAGTACGGCTGAGGTGGGATCTGAACAAGGAGGGAGTACCCATCTGGCCTCCCTCAATCCTAGAAGAGGGGGAGGATCCATTGGGGATGCCCTCTTTTGACTGATGGGTGGAAGGGGCTCCTGTTGATGCACTAAAATCACCCTAGCAAGTGTACTAGTCGCCCCAAGTAATATAATGATGAGAGAGTGTCGAACCCACGAGGATTGTGTCTAATTAAGTACCAAAATAATTAATCTAAATTTATTTGAACAATCAAATAGGCAGAAACTTTAATTAAAAATAATAAAAAGAAAATAACAAATAAATCTAATCAAGATAGGAGGTACTAAGGCATTGATTTCACCATAATCAATCAATATAAATTCTGGATTACTAAATTGTTGAGTGTTATTGCATGTGATGGCGGATTT